GGCTGTTTCAGTGTTTACTGTAGCTTCCAGTTTGTTAAGTTTTGAAATACTTTTTTTTTTTTTAAATGCAACATTTGCCAGCCCTGGAGTCGTACTGTTGCTCTTCTGGTTTTGCATGTCTTGGAAATTTTTTTCCCTTTTGACTCTTAAAATACAGACAGCTCTAACAGCTTTAGGAAAACATCGTAAAGAGCCAAAGGTACGCTGCCAACGTTTAAAACCACATTTTGAAAATTCTAAAGGTGCGATAGCCCTCGGTCCTTACTCTTTTCTTCTTTTGTTTTGAAATGGAGCCTTGGTGCCTCGGTAGGTGTGCTGGACACGTCCTGTGCTGGCGCTTCTGCAGGCGTGGCCGGCTGGGCGGCCGCGGGGCCGCGAGGTGTTCTGCCACGTGCTGCTTTCCCCTCCGTCGTCACGGGCACTGAAGAGACTTGTTCTGTAACCCCCCGGCTTTCCAGGGATCCTGCGCTGGCGTGCCGGCCTCCCAGACACCGTCCCCAGATTTCCCCTGACGCCGTCCCCAGGGTGCTGGGGTCTGACGGGCGCAGCTTGTGCCCGGCACCGCTGCTTCGCGGCGTTCTCTGTGCGGCACGGTGGGGAAACCCGAGGCCAAGAACAGTTAAAAATACACGAGTCTCCTTTTTCAGGCAGTTATGTGGTGGCGTCGCGGCGTGCCAGGAGCCCGTCCCGGTGCGGTGGAAATCCCGCTCTCCCGAGGGTCCCGCTCCGGTGTGATCCCGGAAAAATAACAGGGCGGTCTGTGCGCCTCTGGTGAGTGGCTTACCGACTGCGTATCCATGCTTTTTTTCTTCTCTTGATTTCAGAAACGAGTGCCAGTGCAATGCAGTCAAAAAGAAGAAAATCCAAGTAAATTACTGCATGGAAACATGAAACTTGTAAATGAGTGTGAATTTCCCAATAGCGATTTTGAGCTGTGATTTTTCTTTTTTAAATAAAATTCTGTACAGTAAGTCATTTTAATATTATACTGTTCCCAATAAATGATTTTTTTTTTCTAAAAAACAGATAAATAGATATAAAAACGGGGTTCTTCTCAAACCCCCTGGATTTCCAAAGTGAAGTCCAGGGTTAGCACATTAGGTTAACGTGTTTGTATGAAATGGAAGGGGAGGGGAAGACAACTGTAAATTTATTTGTTTCCACTTTTCATAAGCGAATTAGAATACAGGGTTGTCATTTTTAGGTATTAAAATAATGTATTGTGCTGTTGTTTAAGTACTGTATGTGAATAGCAGTAAGAGGGTTTATAAACAAACCCGATCTTGTTTGGAAATGTAAATAATTTTATTATATAGTAGATCTGATGTATTTGTTGTAGAAATGGACCAGTGAGACAAAAAAGTAAATTTAAGGGTTTGTACAATGTGGAATCCCTCATGCTCTAAATAAATGTTATTGTCCTATCATTTGGGCTGTATTATTGTTAGCAGCAGCGGCAGCATCGTTCCACCCAGGAAGACTGAAGGGATTATGTAGAGCTCCAGGCCTGCAAGCTCCTTATATGGAGATTTAGAAAGGAATTTTTTTAACCACAAGCGAATTAACTGCTGCAGCTGTTCCACGCCCCCCCCCCGCCCCGGGACGTGCGTGGTGCGG